CTACACTACGAAGTCACGGTAATGTGTGTTTATTTATTAGTGCCTACACTACGAAGTCACGGTAATGTGTGTTTATTTATTTATTTTTGTGTTCTCTAATAAATGTTACCTTTAATCTAACTCGATTTTCATGACTACTTTGATCAAGTTTTTTACATCTTTAGAATGAGTTCTAAGTTAGTCTTTAGTCTGGGTTCTCAGTATTTAAACGGGGTTCTAAGTTAGTCTTTAGACTGGGTTCTCAGTATTGAAACGGGGTTCTCGGTTAGTCTTTAGACTAAGTTCTCAGTATTTAAACGGGGTTCTAAGTTACTCTTTTGTCTGGGTTCTCAGTATTGAAACGGGGTTCTCGGTTAGTCTTTAGACTAAGTTCTCAGTATTTAAACGGGGTTCTAAGTTACTCTTTAGTCTGGGTTCTCAGTATTGAAACGGGGTTCTCGGTTAGTCTTTAGACTGATTCTCAGTATTTAAACGGGGGTTCTAAGTTAGTCTTTAGACTGAGTTCTCGGTATTTAAACGGGGGTTCTAAGTTAGTGTTTAGTCTGGATTCTCAATATTGAAACGGGGTTCTTGGTTAGTCTTTAGACTGGGCTCTTAGTATTTAAATGGGGTTCTAAGTTAGTCTTTAGAGTGGGTTCTCAGTATTTAAACGGGGTTCTAAGTTAGTCTTTAGACTGGGTTCTCAGTGTTCTACCGTGGTTCTCAGTTAGTCTTTCAACTGGGTTCTCAGAGTTTAAACGGACTTTTCGATCCTTATAGTGGATTATTAGTCACAGACTGAGTTTTCAGTATTTAAATGGGGTTCTCATTTAGTCTTTAGATTGGGTTTTTAGCATTTAAACGGGTGTCTCAGTATTTATACTGGGCTATCAATGCTAAATCAGGTTCTCAGATAGACTTTATACTGGGCTATTAATGCTAAACCAGGTTCTCAGTTAGACTTTAGACTGGGTTCTCAGTATTAATACGGGGTTTCCAGGGAAACCCCGTATTAATACTGAGAACCCAGTCTAAAGAGTTAAAACTACTCTAAAGAATAATGGGACTCCTAAAGAGTAACTGGAAACCCCGTATTAACACTGAGAACCCAGTCTAAAGAGTTAAAACTACTCTAAAGACTAATGGGACTCCTAAAGAGTAACTGGAAACCCCGTATTAATACTGAGAACCCCGTCTAAAGAGTTAAAACTACTCTAAAGACTAAGGGACTCCTAAAGAGTAGTAGTATTGTTGGGGATCTACTAGTCAGGTAATATTAGGTCAGTCGTTTTATCTGTAGTATTGTTTGGGACTCCTAAAGAGTAACTGGAAACCCCGTATTAATACTGAGAACCCAGTCTAAAGAGTTAAAACTACTCTAAAGACTAAGGGGACTCCTAAAGAGTAACTGGAAACCCCGTATTAATACTGAGAACCCAGTCTAAAGAGTTAAAACTACTCTAAAGACTAAGGGGACTCCTAAAGAGTAACTGGATAAAACGACTGACCTAATATTACCTGACTAGTAGATCCCCAACAATACTACGGATGAAACGACTGACCTAATATCCTTACTAGTAGATCCCCAACAATACTACGGATAAAACGACTGACCTAATATTACCTTACTAGTAGATCCCCAACAATACTACGGATAAAACGACTGACCTAATATCCTTACTAGTAGATCCCCAACAATACTACGGATAAAACAACTGACCTAATATTAGTAGAAGGTGTGGAAATTGGACAGTATATATATATATATAAACTTGTAACATTTCACGGTCTAAAACTAAAGATTATCGGATTCATATTGGAAAACATGTTTACAGAACCTTCTTTAATCCGTATGTCCGTACCCTGGATGGAACTAAGTAGATCTGAGAAAGTTATTGGTTCAGCAAGGTGTAACATCGAGGACAGACAGACATCCATTGTACCAAACTATATTATTGTATTAACTCATCAACATAGGTGAAATAAAAAAATAAGAATGGACCAACATTATGGCCAAAACTGCATAACAATGAAAACACAAAACCTAAACCAATGATTATATCCTACTGATCATAGTATCGTGCCCAGACTGATAGCCATGATTATATCCTACTGATCATCGTATCGTGCCCAGACTGATAGCCATGATTATATCCTACTGATGATCGTATCGTGCCCAGACTGATAGCCATGATTATACCCTACTGATGATCGTATCGTGTCCAGACTGATAGCCAGCATTATATCCTACTGATGTATATCACGTTTCATTGAAGGAAGGCAAGGTTGAATCTAAACTTCACATCTTGAAAGAGACTTAGAACTGGTAAGAATAAAGAAGATTTAATATCAAAACTGGCTTCAAATGTGACAAACAAAAACGTCTATGTAGAAATCAAACTCAACTTTAAATCGTCTGTGATGCTGATCTCCTGAAAAGATGCTTGATTTGTTCCAACATATACTCCAGTTAACTTGACTGAGTTTGAGCAACGTGCTGCTGTAAGCCTTAAAATCTGAGTGAAACGTAAAAATAAATTATGTATTTTTTATTCACAAATGTAGTTGGTTTCCCGAGGTGAGTACCCAACTGGTATGCTCTGGCGTTTTTCTAAGCAGTGCGTGCTTTGCTTAACCAATCATGTATCGATCGTACGTGAAATAACCAATCACAAATTAGTATACAATGATTTGTTACAAACTATGAAAAATAATAATGCTCCAAAATGACGTCATTTTTGCTTCGTTACTGATACACCTGTCATCTCCCATAATTCATCACGTGATCAAGACACAGTGTATCAAATGTATTAAAATGTATTAAACCCGAAGTTTTAATAATAATCATTGTTTATTTATCCAATCATTATTAATAGACGGACCTTCTATGTACATAGAAAGCTTAAGATAAAAATTAAATAATTAAAACCTTAATTTGAATATATTATTAGTTCCAGTAAATAGAAAATTGAGTTTTATATTTCCCCGACATCATCTAATGCAGAAGACATTAAAACAAAAAAAGGTTTCGAATCTCAAAGTTCGATTAATGACACGAATTTCGCAAAATGAGCATTTGTTTTATATTTTATGATATATCATTCCAAACAAACTTTTCACCAGCTAATAATGATTATTGTATAATTAATTAGCGATGGGAAGAAGAACGGGGAAATATTATTAAAATTGTATATGATTTCTATATAATTGTTTTCACTAGCGTCATTCATCTAATATGATGGGTATATCTGAAAACATGGTAATATTTACTTTAACATGGTAATATTTACTTTTAACATGGTAATATTTATTTTAACATGGTAATATTTACTTTAATAAGGTAATATTTACTTTAACATGGTAATATTTACTTTAACATGGTAATATTTACTTTAACAAGGTAATATTTATTTTAACATGGTAATATTTATTTTAACATGGTAATATTTACTTTAGCATGGTAATATTTTTATTTTAACATGGTGCTATTTATTTTAATATTGTAATATTTTTATTTTAACATGGTAATATTTACTTTAACATTGTAATATTTTTATTTTAACATGGTAATATTTATTTAACATGGTAATATTTACTTTAACATAGTAATATTTATTTAACATGGTAATATTTACTTTAAGATGGTAATATTTACTTTAACATTGTAATATTTTTATTTTAACATGGTAATATTTTTATTTTAACATGGTAATATTTACTTTAACGTGGTAATATTTACTTTAACATGGTAATATTTACTTTAACATGGTAATATTTTTATTTTAACATGGTGCTATTTATTTTCAAACAACTAGCTCGTGTTGCTTTTGCTTAGTTCCAACAGCGTAGGCTTATAATCAAATAATCAAAATATAATCATGTCAAAACAAATTTCATGTTAAATGTGCTTAGTTTTAACAGCGTACGCTTCTAGTCCGACAATAAACAAGAAGGAATCCTCAATAGCCGCGCCACTTGAAATTCTTTTAGGCAGGATTAGAGTAAGTTAATCTGTGAGACCTTTTTTTTTTCTTTTCTTTTATTAGTTATATTTCTGTGCACCTGCAATACCAAGCGTGGGGGTCGCGTATACCCGATTCGATTTTTATTACTCATCAGGATCTCTACCAACCTACCCTCACATTAAAATTCTTTTAGGCGAGAATTGAGTAAATTAATCTATGAGGCCTTGGACATGAATCGGAACGGTTTGATCTCCTGAGTCCTAAACAAACTCAGAGCCATTCTATGAGTCGCTATGCCGCGGCTAAAAAACACGTCATGTGTTTCAACTTAATTCTAAGTTTTACTTCTCTGACTCTTTCCATTGCACAAGACAACTCCACCTGCCGTTTCTTTACGAAGGTAAACATTTTTCTACTATTTCTAGACGTAAATATTAACCTACCTGATAATTCTTTGACAGACTGGGACCGTGGAGGGTTGAAAACCTACGTGAAAAAAAAATAATTACGAACGAAAATATTTGAGGCACAGAAAAGAACATTATCTATAAAAAATTAACAAATACACGTGTTGTTCGCTTTTAAAGTTTGTAAGCTTCCCGAAAAAAAAAAGCGTCAATCTAAAAAATGTTCTTTTGTGTTAGAAACGTCACGTTTTTCATCTTTACCATTATAACATAAATAACAAAACAGTAACCCTAAATTCATTCCGATTTTACGATCCTCTGGATAAAATTACCTCAGTCTCGAGGCAGTCAGTATAATATCCATGACTTTAACGATACATTTACACGTACTATAAACTATCACGAGAGTTTACTGAAACTTATCTCCTACATCCATTTGCCCCCCCAATGGCACAGCGGTATGTCTGCGGACTTACAACGCTAGAAACTGGGTTTCCATACCCGTGGTCAGCAGAGCACAGATAGCCCATTGTGTAGCTTTGTGCTTAATTACAAACAAACAAACCTACATCCACACAAGTTGTATTTTAATGCAACTAAAAGTGTCCGACACATAAGATGACATTAATAACGTCGAAATATGTAGTGTCTTTATGTAGTGTCTTGATGTAGTGTCTTGATGTAGTGTCTTTAGGTAGTGTCTTGATGTAGTGTCTTGATGTAGTGTCTTTAGGTAGTGTCTTGATGTAGTGTCTTTATGTAGTGTCTTTTACAACCGTCTGTCTTTGAGTATTTGAATATGTGTGTCCAATGTGAAACTTCAAAGGCTAGCTTGTACAGCACGAGATAATAAGAACTGCTTATATGCTTTGGATAATGTAGGACGGAATCAAACCAGGTACAGCACGAGATAATAAGAACTGTTTATATGCTTTGTATAATGTAGGACGGAATCAAACCAGGTACAGCACGAGATAATAAGAACTGTTTATATGCTTTGTATAATGTAGGACGGAATCAAACCAGGTACAGCACGAGATAATAAGAACTGTTT